GGGCAGCTGATCCCTAAAGGGACAAGGGCCAAAAGCCGCAGAGATTCAGCTCGGACATTCAGCTTTGGGAAATTCAGATCAGACATTAGGAAAAAATTCCCAAGAGTGCCATGCAGTCACAGCACAGGCACCCAGAGAGATGATACATCTCCTTCCCTGGAGGTTTTAAAAACCTGTGTAGAAAAACGCATGGCTGATGTTATGGAATGTTGGCAACAGCCCTACTTCAAGCAGGACGTTAGACTAGAAAACTCCAGAGGTCCCTTCCCATCAGTGGTCCTATGATTCTATGATGTACTTCATTATACTGTGCATCACACAAATGGAACGTATATCATACATCTTCAGCTTCCTAAGCTACCTGAAGGTGCAGTGCTGTAAGGACAGGAGGTGATGTTCCACCTGCAAGTTCAGTAACTGCATTCCCACTCTATCAGAACAGTATACAGGGGTATGAAAAGTCATGTTCAATTAGAGCTCCCTAAAAAGAAAGAATTCTCCATAGCTTTCCCATCTATCACACACCTTTGTGCCAGTTACACAATCAATGGAGAAACACAATACACTCCTGTTTCCAAACAACTGAAAGCTAACTAGATTAATTGTAGTCATGCCACTAATCTTGTTCCGCAGCTGGGGCCTTGGCCTATATTTACAAGGGCATTACATTCACAAGTACACTGGAGCTCCGGAACAGCTCTTTCTGCTACTTAAGTCAATAGATGCTCTGCTGCTTTATGAATTGCCCGCAGTATTAGATGGTCCCATTACTGGACCACATCCCTTCTACTTAAGTGAAAATAATTTTCCCATCTGTGGATAGAAAGAATAAAAACCATCAGTGTAATCCCCAATTCATCAAGAAATTGAGTAAGGATAAGTGTAGTTGTGATTCCTCTATGTAAAGCAAGCAGACAATTATAGAGAAATAGCCCCAAAGATGTTGCTTTACAATCAGCTCAGGCATAACATCAACAGCTTGGATGAGTTAGACATCTTATTAAAAACTCACTGAAAAAGGGCATGAATATAGTTTGCACAGTATCATAACTTACCAGAGATCCAACAAATAACAGTCCTAGAGAAGCTAAAGACAGCAGGATGTATGATACCACAACGCTCCCGATTCTAGTCAGGTCCTGTGAAACAACAGAATTGACGATGATTCATGAAGTATTTAGGGGCACAGTATAGCATCTGCATGCATGTTCTTGGCAAACTGTGCATTCGTTCTTGGATTTCCCATGCAGATTTAGTCACACCATACTCTTGTCTGTGGAAAAGCCGCCACCACCAAAACCAGAAAAAATGCCAGGCTTTGGAGAAGACTGAAATTGAAACCATCTCTGAGCCCTGGCATCTCAGGAGGTCTAAAAAACAGATTCCACTGTGAAGGCAAACAGGAAATGTGCTTCCTATCCTCATGCATTGCCAAAATTGAGATCTGGATCCATGTTTCAATTCTGCAGTCTGGACCAGAGTTTCATTGCCATAGTCAGTGTAATTTTATACTGTGGGAAAAGGCTTTGAAGAAAGTTTAGTACTGTTCCCATGTTTGTAGGTCCTTACATAAAACCCAGCCACAGAGGACTTTTCTATAATTTCTATACTTTCTGCAAAATACCATCAGGTTCATTCACAGCGCTGGCAGTGAAATTCACTCCAATGTCTCAGTCATATTTAAGTAGTTTAGAGTTCAGCCTATTCTCAGTAGTAGGTGCAAAATCCATCTGTAAAGGGCTTCAGTGAGCAAGGAATTTTACTGTTTCTGACCCACTAGCACAGCTAAAGAGAAATTCAGAGTTAGGAGCTTTCATTTACTTATGTCAGAAGATTTCTCCAACTTTACTGCTTTCAAGTCTAAATTTGCACGATAAATAGTGCTATAATAAACAGCCCTCAAAGATATGCATTAACATCTGCACACAGTCATACTTGGGGTGTTCTTGTGGTGCATTCTAGGAATCGGCTTCCTCCACACTGAACTCTTATTTTAAGTCAAAATCCCATAAATCAGGGATTTTCTGTAAGGAACAATTTGTTAATGATTGACCCACTGCAAATAAGATACAGGTGATACTCTGTGAAGAGCTCTGATGGTGCATAATAAATCCAACTGAGAAAGGGCAAAGAAAAAGTGCTTCTTTCAAATAAACAAAAGAGTAGGTAACATGCAGCTCAAAAACGTTGTTAAGAGAACACAGAAAACAGTCTCCACTGTACTTCAGCCACAAGAGGCACTGAGTCAGATTTCCTATTTGTACTGCATAGCCTCTTCTATAAAGATTATGTACAATGAATCTAAGCTTCTGATAGCAAATATATTTCACCTGATTTTTTTAAAGTAGCTGCTCACTACTTAATTAAGGTTCTGTCCACACTAGAGAAATCTGCACTGGGTATAATTACCCCAGTAATTTATCAGGTGAATCATACTGGTATACATGTCATTATGTCATGGTGAGAAGCTAAGCAATTTTACTGGGGTAGCTTTTAGATATAATTGAATCTGTACACCTAATACACCTGAAATACTTTTATTGCACATAGATAAGCTTTAAACACTCAATAGAAATTCGTGACCGAGTATTTAGTGATTTGTACCCTTTATGTGGGTTGATCCATTCTTCCAGAATTTAAGCTTCTATCCATCCTGATAAATTAAGTGCCAGCTCTCCCTTTACTGTGGACTAAACCTTAGTTGACTAATTTCTTATTGCTTTGTTTAATTTGAAATCATTTGCACATTATGAAAAATCTGCTGCGCTGACATCACAGCTAAAAATTCAGCCCTATATCTTGAAGATAAAATACGGATCTGCTTTCAGAAAATTCTTTTCACCATGTCAGGACACACACAATGCAGCTGTCACTATATTATATGAAGTACATGTATATTATACTTTTAATCAGAAGAGATATTAGAAGCACCACCCAAGGCTACTGACACCAACTATATAATCAGAGAGGAGTAACAGGGACTTACCTCCCCTTGATCTGACAAAAACTGTTTAAATGGGGTAAGCAAGTAAGACAGCAGGTCAAAGGCATTCTGAGCTGCTGGGATGGTCCCATAAGTGCTGTACCACAGCATCACGCAGAGAAGCTGTACAATCAGTCAGAAAACACATAATGAGCATCTCTCATTATACAAACATTCATTTTCATTTCAAGACTGCATAATTAACTAATTTAGTTCTCATTGATTTCATGTTGATCACCATTTTTTCTTTAAGAAGTCAGGTATTTTCTAGGCTGTAGCTTAACAAGAATAAAGAGACTGAAGGCTAAATGCTCAGCTACCATTAACTAGATGTATATCACTGAGTTAAGCAAGCTTACTCTGATCTACACTAGCAAAAGGACTGCCCATGTAGCCTGTACACTGAAAGAGCAACAGATTCCTCTGACTTCTGAACTTTCAGAATTATTACTTTTAGATCTACTTTGTATGTTACTAAAAGACTATTAAAGGCCTATCTCATACTACGCAAAGCTCTCACAAATAGCCATGTTCACATAGGCATCCCTATAAACAGATACACACACAAACATATACACGTTGAAACATTTAATTTGAACCACTTAAGGTTGCTGCACACACACCACACGAACCTAAAAATGCAAGAATGCTATGTTTAACAGTCTCACAGAGAGGTATACCCTCATCCCCAACCATGAAGGGCACACTGCAACTTTAAAGGATACACATCTCAATCTACTTTTTAACAAGACTGTTATTTACCCCCATACATATGAGCTACAGAAGATGGATTTGTTGGGAGATGGGTCATTTGGCAAAGGAGGCATTTGCAGAGGGGCAGGGAATGGGATGGCAGTCTGGGACATCAAAAGGCAGGGGCTGTTTGCAAAGCAAGGCTGTGAGAGGTGGCTGCAGAAATGAAAGAACTGCAGCTGTGTCCATTGCTACATCTACAACAAATGAGGAGGAAAACTCCCAAGCCAACAAAGCTTAAAAGGGTCCCAGCATTTCAAAGTGATGACAAGCTGCCTTACCAGTATCTGTGAGAGGACAAATAGATACATGTTGTCTCCAGGCATTAATCCATTCCACTGGGCAGCCCAACCAAGCAGTGCTGTTTTCTGGGTGTTTTTCAGAGACTGCTCCTTCCTGTTCTGCTGTCCTTGTTGTGCTTCATCCATTGACTCCATAACTGCTGGACTGGAAAGACCTTCATGTGAAAATGACATGTGCAGGGAATGAATAGTATGTAACCCTGCAGCCACTGCAGAGGCTGCAAGGACTATTGTTTTCCTAGAGACGATGGTTACCTCTCAGTTCTGCATCAGTAAGCGCAGCTCAGGATTGTGAGCGTCACACTCTGTTAGTGCAGCTGTATTCACCTGCCTTCGTCTGAAAAAAGTGAGTGTAGGCGGATAAATTATTTTCTGTTTCTTTCCGCAGGTGCAGATTCTGTGCTTTGTTGTTAATAAATTCTCATTTACATTGCTGCACCTTTTCATTTTTACTTTTTAAAAGGAACCATCTGTGCTATTTCCTAGCTCCACAATTCCTGGCTACATGGTGGCAGAGAACCCATTTTGTCCCTCCCTGCCTCAATTTCTCCATTACCCCTTATTTGTCTGCTTTATCCAATTTGATTATAACTTTCTGAGGTAGAGACTACTTCATGTTATGTGTCTGAATAGTGCTCAAGGGCTCTGGGTTTTGCCTGAGTGTCCTAAGGCACTAACAAAATAGACTTTATTCCAATAACCTACTTCTTGGATAAATTCATACTCAAGACTTATTTAATAATGTTGTAATGCTATTCCATTCAGTGGAAATATGCACTGGAGTGGCTAGTCCCTCAGTAACAGTATTTTGAACACAGTCTGTGCAGATATAAATTAATTTACAAGCTAAAAGAAGTGAAAGATCAGACCCATTTGATGTAAGTACTACTGATTTACATCTTTCTACATGAGGAAAGGCCCAAGGCTGCCATACGTACAACACTGTAACCTTAAACCTAAGCCAGCCACCTGTGCCCCAGGGAAAGGCCACATTGTTGGGCCTTCCATGGTTTGTCGAGGTCAGGTTTCTACAAAATGTTCCCCTCCTCACACATTTCTGTCTCACAATAATATCACAGTATCACAGAATCATTAAGGTTGGAAGGGACCTTCAAGATCATCAAGTCCAACTGTTAACCCAACATCACCATGCCCCCTAAACCATGTCCCGAAGCGCCACATCCACACATTTTTTGAACACTTCCAGAGATAGTGACTCCACTACCTCCCTGGGCAGCCTGTTCCAACGCTTGACCACTCTCTCAGTAAAGAAATCTAAACCTCCCCAGTGCAACTTGAGACCATTTCCTCTCGTCCTATCACTAGTTACTTGGGAGAAGAGACCAACACCCACGTTGCCACAACCCCCTTTCAGGTAGTTGTAGAGAGCAATAAGGTCTTCCCTCAGCCTCCTCTTCTCCAGACTGAACAACCCCAGTTCCCTCAGTTGCTCCTCATACAACTTGTGCTCCAGACCCCTCACCATCTTCATTGCCTTTCTTTGGACATACTCGAGCACCTCAATGCCCTTAGTGGCTCTAAGTCAGATAAGCATCCATAAACTAGGCACAGCTCTAATTAGGCAAATGAAACATAGGATCAGCTGAGGGCCTGGCTTTTGGTACAGTAAGGATTCATGAAAATATCCCATTATGATTTCTAAAACACAAAAATGTGAGAGTAGACAGGAACATGCAATGTTTATTCCTACTCTGTGATTGTTCTTCCTGCCCTCACTGAAACAGACCTTTAGGACATCCATCTCTGCACAGGAGAACAAGGTGTTTGGGAAATGCTGATGGCTTCCTCTGCAAGGTTCTCCGCTCCCACAGCTGCCCAGCAACAAAAGCGTCATCATTGTTTAATGACTGGAGAGACCCAGAGACACAAGGAGCACCTGCAAGGTACTACCAGGTACTTCCCCAGCAGCTCAGGTTACTGGTTTCTCATTTTCAAAATATCTCTACTCAGTATATGATAGGTAATGGCCTCAGCAGGATATGCTGGGTATAACTGGTTATATGTAGCTACTTCTCAGGAAGCATAGAGAAAGTGCTTCTAAATAGACATACAGCCATTGTGCAGCAGGAAAACTATGATATAGCTGCCATCACGGAAACATGGTGGGATGACTTGCACAACTGGAGTGCTGCAATGGATGGCTATAAACACTTCAGAAGGGATAGGCAAGGAAGCAGAGGCGGTGGGGTAGCCCTGTACATTAGAGAGTGTTTTGACTGTCTAGAGCTTAATGATGGTGACAACAGGGTTGAGTGTTTAAGGGCAAGAATCATGGGAAGGCCAACATGGCAGATATGGTGGAAGCCTGTTATAGACCACCCAACCAGGATGAAGAGAGAGATGAAATATTCTTTAAGCAGCTGGGAGAAGTCTCACAGTCACTAGTCCTTGTTCTTGTGTGGGACTTAAACTTACCAGATATCTGCTGGAAATACAATACCGCAGAGAGGAAAGAGTCCAGGAGGTTCCTGGAGTATGTGGAAAATGACTTCTTGACACAGCTGGTGAGTAAGCCAGCTAGGGAGGGCACCCCACTGGACCTGTTGTTTGCAAATAGAGGAGGACTTGTGGGTGATGTGATGGTTGGAGACCATCTTGGGCATAGCGATCACAGAATGACAGAGTTTTTTTGATTCCTGGAGAAATAAGGAGAGGGGTCATCAGAACTGTTACCTTGGACTTCCAGAGGGTAGACTTTGGCCAGTTTAGGAAGACTGGTTGACAGAGTCCCTTGGGAGACAATCCTGAAGGGCACAGGAGTCCAGGAAGGCTGAACATTCTTCAAGAAGGAAATCGTAAAGGCACAGGAGCATGATGTCCCTGTGTGCCAAAAGACAAGTTGGCGGGGAAGAAGACTGGCCTGGCTGAACAGTGAGATTTGGCTGGAAATCAGAAAAAAGGAGTGTTTACAACCTTTGGAAGAAGGGGCAGGCAACTCAGGAGGACTACAAGGACTACACTGTCGTGAGGTTATGCAGAGAGAAAATCAGAAGGGCCAAAGCCCAGCTAGAACTTAATCTGGCTACTGCTGTAAAAGACAATAAAATGCCAAGATGCCAAGGCCAATGGCATCCTGGCTTGTATCAGAAACAGTGAGGCCAACAGGACTAGTGAAGTGATCGTCCCTGTACTTTGCACTGGTGAGGCCACACTTGGAATACTATGTTCAGTTTTGGGCCCCTCACTACAAGAAAGACACTGAGGTGCTGGAGTGTGTCCAAAGAAGGGCAACGAAGCTCGTGAAGGGTCTAGAGCACGTCTTGTGAAGAGCAGCTGAGGGAACTGAGGTTGGTTAGCCTGGAGAAAAGGAGGCTGAGGGGAGACCTTATCACTCCCTACAACTACCTGAAAGGAGGCCGTAGTGAGGTGGGTGTTGGTCTTCTCTCCCAAGTGACAAACGACAGGACAAGAGGCAATGGCCTTAAGTTGTGCCAGGGGAGGTTTAGATTGGATATTAGGAAAAATTCCTTCACTGAAAGCGTTATCAGGCACTGGAACAGGCTGCCCCGGGGAAATGGTGGAGTCACCATCCCTGGCGGTATTTAAAAGTTGTGTAGACATGGTACTTAGAGACAGGCTTTAGTGGTGGATTTGGTAGTGCTAGGTTAACAGTTGGACTCAATGATCTTAAAGGTCTTTTCCAACTTAAGTGAGTCTATGATTCTACATCATACCATGGGAATATGCTGAAATTAACTGACTAATTGCCAGGAAAGACTCAGTACATTAATTTGCATAAACCTTATCAAAATTTCATATTACATACAAGTCAATAAACCATGCAAAAATATGGAACTAAAGTGGTGAAATCAGAAGTGTCAACAATCCTAGCCTGTATTTCTCACAGTGGTAAAACCTCCTTCACTTTCATCTATATGTCTTTAATGCGAGAAGACAACCACTTGAAAATACCACTTTTCAAAGAAAAGCAGACAGTTTCTGGAATACAGCTCAGGAGATCATGGGAGCTCTACCTCCCTGTCCTTCAGGCTCCACCTGGTAATCTACAGCCCATGACAATCCCCCAAGAAATAGAAAGCTCAGATGCAGTCTTTGATGTCCAGAGACATGGACCGTATGCTTAACACCTGACTTCTGATACCATGCTACATAAAGCTGGACTCAAGTTCTCAAGGAGGACAATACAGCAGCCACAGCTAAGGCTGCCTAAATATTTTCAATGATGATGTTTGTTTTCATTTTCTCTAATGTGCTAAAATTTAATGTTGAAAATTTAAAGTTGAAAATTTTCAAGCTTCCAAACTACTTCATGTCTCACTGGATTGAGGGGAGAACCCTTGTTAATGACTGCCAATTTTTTTCCTGCTATTTTTGTGGGATGTGTATGGTCTGTGTTTTGGAATAGGAATTTAAAATTTAGCAGGGACAGAATCTTGATGTCAGAAATTATTTTTGCCATCCATGCAAAAAGACATGTACTTGTGGCTGAGAAGTAAACCTTCAAAAATATCTATTTACATATTGTTTATTATGGCTTGCTCCTAAAGTCTCTAACCTTCCATTTTCACTAAGCATGTTTTAAGTTCTACTCTTCCTTTGTCT